GCGCTCCCTCTGCCAGAAACCCGGAAGCAAAAAACTTTGCTGGAATGCCAACAAGTTAGATGGACACAAACTGATTGAAATATTGCAACAGGAAGCAGCAAGGGTAATGCAGCGATGAGAGGCATATGGGAGAAACGATGCTCGCCCTGCACAAGGCCTGCGAAGCAACAATGCCTCGCAAAACGCAACCCCGGATCAGCAGACAGGCGGTCTATTGGTGAACGGAAGAGAGCGGAGCTGAGGAGAAACTGTCTCAAGCTCCGACGACGGGCCCAAAGTGTCAGACTGTGAGCTGAATCCGCGCGACTGTCCGCCCAACACGAGGCCAAGAAGGGCGATAGACCGAAGCAAATCACTGTGCTGGAAGGCCCTCATGGACGAAGTTGACAGAGACCCATGGGGACAGGACTACAAGATAGTGACCCGGAAACGCAGGAAGCGGACACTGGAGGGAAAACTCGGCGCTTATTCCATGCGTCTCATTGTGGACGCATTGTTTCTCAGACACCTGCTTAAACCGCCGGACAAGCACGCTAAGGATTATACGGATATCCCGTTCTCCGTAGAACGAGAACTCGGAGAAGCAACCACCATCCTCCAGAACAGGAAAACCCCAGGGCCTGATTACATACCAGCAGAAGTCCTGAAAACAGCGGCGCGAGAATGCCCGAATTTCCTGCTTAACATGTACACCTGCTTAAAAGAGGGTCTCTTCCGTAAGCAGTGGATATCTTCCGGGAGCAGTTGGTCGTACTGGACAAGGGTAAGGGTGAACCCCACCTACCATCGTCCTACAGACCCCTCTGCTTGCTTGACACGGCTGGGAAGCTACTCGAAAAGTTGCTCAAACCACGCCTACTGATGGTTATCCGTGCTGGCGGAAACCTATTGGACAGACAATACGGTTTCAGGGCTGGGGATCTACTGCGGACGCAGCTGTAGTGGAAGCCGTTGAAGACGCTCGGCAAGTAAGCCACCACTCCCGCAAATTAGTGCTACCCCTAAACGTGCGGAAGTTAACAGGCTACATCTTACGAATCCTCAGTGACTACTTGAGGAAACTAGTCTATAACACCGCAGACGGCCCTCGCAACACGTTACTGTGGGAGTAGCGCAAGAATCGATTCTGGGACCAGACCTATGGAACGTCTCCCATAACGACATACTTCAGATGAAAATGCCTGAAGACACTGCCCTGATATAGTACGCCGACGACATTGCGGCTGTCACACAGGCACGCACGATGATAGAACCCCAGTGGAAGCTTAACAGGTGATGAGACGTGTTACAAAATAGAGGATAACGGACTTGGCCTTTTTATGGAAAAAACTGTACTCGTCCTTTTGACAAGAAAGCAAATCCCGACACTGGTTCCCTTGCTTGTCGATACTGAGGTTATCGGAACGACGTCGTCCGTGCCATATCTCGGCCTCAAGTTTGACCCCAAACTCACATTCGGTGAACATGTAAAACGGACAGCGGGAAAGGCTTCACAAGTGACTGGAGCACTGAGCAAGCCGATGGCCAACGTCGAAGGACGGAGACCGAGCAAGTGGCTTCCACTCATCTCCGTGGCGCACTCCATTATGGTGTATGGATAGGAGATATGGGCAGAGGCACTCGAGCGCGGTACAGGGGAAAGGAGCACCGAGAATTGCCTGCTCTTATAGAACTGCAGTGTTCGAACCTGCAGTATTAGTAGTGGCTGGAGTCACACCTGCTTTCTCAGGAGAGGAAACTCATCCACCAGACCAAGACTGAATTGGGAAACCGACAAATCCATAGAGAAGCCAGACCCCTCACGATGGAGCACTGGCAAATCCCTGGGAAAACGAAAGCAGAAAAAGATGGACAGCCAGGCTCATCCTGTAGATATCCTCTTGGATCGGGCTTAAGCATGGGGGAGTATTCTTTCATCTAATACAGTTCCTCACCGGTCATGGACATTTCCGCAAATATCTCCATCGGATAAAGAAAGTAGAAAGTGGGAAGTCTGTACTTCCTCACACAAACAGATGAGCGCACATTCTTTGTCTGCGAGAGATGGGCAGACGACAGGTCACTAGAAGAACGGGTTGGAGCTATAGGCCCTGATAACATCCTTGAGATGATGCTCACCAGCAAAGAAAGTTGGGGCGAGATATCTACCTACGTGGAAAAGGTACTCTGCACCAAGAAGCTAGAAGAAATCTCAGACCAATAACAACTTAGTGGGTAAAAACAAGAGACAATTTGGCGAGATAAGCCCCTGTGGACAAACGACGAGGCACCATTCCAAAGTAATGCGAAAGCAGTCCTAGAATGGTTCCCGTCTAAGGAAAAAAGGGTTCGTAGTTTTAGAGGGTGAAAGTTCCACACTACTCATGAGTGTGCACCCTCCTGAGTGTTCATTAGAATTTCCACAGTTTCCCTTGTAAAAACTAAAATAAATATTATTATTATTATTATTTAAACTACTCCCAGAACTTTTAGTCAGATATACAATTTTGTATAGTACCTACCTCAGTGAATATTTGAATTATTTCCATCAAATTCTGGTGTAGGCCTACATTTCATTCTTATGATTCATACAAGATATTTTGAGTATGAATTCTTTTTTTTCCTCCTTCTTATAATGAGTACAAAAAAGTTATAATTTATTGTTGAATAAAATGTTGAATATTATTTCTGATTTATTTACTTAAATTTCTAAGTCTCTACTGTAGTTGACTTTTGACATTTCAAGATAATTAACCCCTGCAATGCAATGAATTGATAGTAGGGACGCTGGGGATCATATTTTGCTAAATGACCCCTGCTGGGGATGTAATAATTTGTCCCAGCCAGGGAGACAACCCATACTTAGGTACCTAATTATTTTAGCATGAGCTCCTTAGTATGTCCAAGAGCATACAAAGGAGTTATTCTATTGTCATGCTTACATGAAATATTGATTTCACTTGTCAATTTGTCTCTCTGGAGTTTTTATCTTGCCCCTAAAGAGAATTGCCTATTTTCATCCTGCACCCTTGATCTTTCGAAGAAATGGGTCGGCAGAGCTCGGCTAAGTTTTTTATGCCACTGGTTCGGCCCTTATAATTTACATGTTATTTCACTTTAAAATCCAAAAGCTTTTAATATTATTTCAAAATTAACCTTCACTTTAAGTAAAGGAGAGGGAAAGGAAGTCTATTTTAAGGTGCATAATACTGTATTTTTCCAAACCATTTTAAGTATATTTTTCATGATTCTAAGAATTGTAATATTAATTGTCAGTAAAGAGAGGGATGTGGGTACCTTTAGGAGATATAATTCATATTTCAGACTTGAATATGATTTATTCTTCACAACATATAATAATCGACTTAGTTGATATACATTTCATGATAGATTGAACTTTGTGTTGACTATGATATAAAACATTTCAGTTGAAAGTGATATTGTACATACATTTGCAAGTGTTTCCTCAAATAAGTTAGAAACAAATAAATTTTTCACAAATCATTAACCAGTACAAGACCTACATATACTTAATAGTATTTCTTATTTTAAGAGGTATTTATAAAGTCACCTTGCTCTGAAACATTGTTTCACTTTGTTCTTCAACAAAATCAGTTTATGTTACATTACTTACATTATACATTATTCATACTTACAGAGCAGTAACAGCTGCATAAAAATCTGTACATCTTTTTACACACATGCATCCTCTTTCACTCTGTTAACTTATTAGGCCACTTGCTCATTACATTCTTACATTTGTTTGGTCTATTTAATAAAATACAATATACATAAAAATATGCAAACTGGCACTCACCAAACATTGTACATTAAACAGAAAGTACACTTTCTACCTGATTTATAAATAAGAGATGATATCCTACTATTATGATGAAAAATTGATGATAGTGAATAGAAAGTATGATAAATAAATGCAACTGATCAAGGAGGAATTGGTGGTGGCTGCAAGACAGAAAGTAGAGTTTAACATTGATAATTATTTATCTCATAATTTACATCAAAGAAACAATTTCTAAATGAAAAAAATTCTTACTGAACTTATCAAATACATCTTAATATTTTCTTAAAATTTTGAGAGATGAGCATTTTAATTTTTTGGAACACAAATTCTTCCTGCCATGCACATGTATAAAACTATGGAGAGTTGCAAAGAAATATCAATTGAAATAGCAATGTGCATCATCAAATAACATACATTAATGTTCAGCAGACAAAAATGTAGTTATTTTTTATTAGGTTCCTTGAATTAACCATTTGATAGGTTCTTCAAATATCAAGGATCTTTGTGTACCAACAACAACAACAAAACTCTAAATGCTGAGATGCAGCCAATTTTATGTACTAGGTACAGTGGAAAAAGAAGCCACAATATGTGGGTGGAACAGGTACTGAGTTGCTTCATACTGCATGGTTTGCTTGATGCCTGCCTTTCAAAATAGCAGGACACTGGTAACACAAAGGGTTGCACAGTCATGATGCTAGCTGTGCCGACCCATGCTGTCGGAGGATTCAGGCTCAGAGCCTGAGTCACGGTGGCGACTCTGGCGTGATTTGTTTCCATCACGATCTATGACACCTGTAAAACCAAAATCCTGTTATTATATGCATTGGTTAGTTAGATGACATCACTAATTATTGAAAAGCTTTAATAGAAAATTTGTAGTGATTGAAAACCAGTTCAGGAAGCTAACCAGTTATTGCATTTTATGACCATCTGGATATAAGACATTCATCGAATTGGTTTATATCCTTAAAATATAAGGATGAAATAACATATATAACCGATTTGTGGTTCATTGCAATGCTTGGAGTGTAATGAAATGTATGTTTACTCATCTACTGATGCTCTATTGGCACAAAGTGTAAATAACAACGTGGACAGGTACCTACCAGGTCGAGGTGTATGAACTTCAACTTTTACATGAGCTGTGGCAGTTACTTTTGTGGTGACGTGAGTCTGAGATGAAGATGGAGGTGGTGTTGAACTATGTGATGAAGAGCTGTCACAACTTGCTGAAGTATTCTGAAAATAAAAAGCAACATAGCATTGCCGTGAAAGAAAAAGGAAGAACAGGAAAGAAAGAAAGAAAGAAAAAAAGAAAAAAAAAAAAAAAAAAAAAAAAAAAAAAAAAAAAAAAAAAAAAAAAATAGATAAACAACATTGGTTAATAATAAGTGTTAATTAGTTAGAACAGTTTAATATGTAAACCTACCTGTGTTGGACTGTATGTAGTCTCCACTACAAGCTCAGGCTGCACCACTATTTCATGAGTGGAGTGCCAGGAATTTGCCTCCTCAGTAATAGTGGTAAGAGAAGGCGCTCTGTGGAGTCTGTTTGAATGTGAGTGTCCTCTTCTGGGGGTGGAAATTTTGGTGACCCGACAAGAGCCTGATCGAACACGAACTGGTGATGGTGGAGGAGAGGGCGTTGAGATGCGATCTGGATACTCGTGTGGGACCACCTTAGGCAAAAAATATGAGATTTAAGTTCTTGTACTTCTTGGATTTTATGTAAATAAGAACTAACATTATTTTTTAAGACAAGGGCATTCCTAAAGACACTAACACATATACAAATATAATTTGCATTTTTGAACAAAAAATACTTGATTGAAATAATATTTTATTTATAAAGGGTTTAGTGATTATAACTTACCTCTGCCCGTGGTCCAATAAGTGAAAGAAGGATGGGGAAAAAGACTAGACCATTTAAAAGACCCAATGCTATGAGGGCAAATAAAACATAGAAGAAGTATCTGTAAAGAAAAAAATACAATTTTAAATTTCAGTTAAGTATTTATATGTGTTAATAACTTAATGCATATTGCATGTTTTAAAAATATCTTGGAAAGACGAATAATTAATTTATTTATTAAAGTCAAAAGACAGTGAAAACTGTAACTGAAATGAAATTGAAAGACAAATGCAAAATATTTGTTGCATTTTTAAACTACTGCAGTAAGTCAAAATAAATATTTAAGCTATTAAAAAATCTGGAAGCAGTTGTAAGTAAAGTTAAATTCTCAATTATGACTCAGTTTCATGTCACTTGACAAATTATAGATAAGAGAAACTTTAAAGTAGCTAAGAGAGTATTAAAAAAGGAAGAAAAGAAACTAGTGGTGCAACAACATCACATACTTTCTCACACTATTTGTAATGGTTACATAATATTATAATACTTCTTGAACATTGATTGATTAGTGTTTCTGGGCATGCCTGTGGCTAAGGTCATTAGTTCCATAAGTGCAGTGCGTGTTTTATCATGGGAGATGGAGGTAATCTTCCTCCCGCTGGATGGTGAGATCTTGCACCAACCTGCAAATCAGCTTGCGAGGTTTCCCTAACCAGGTATCTTCCACCACTGGGGCACCGCCTCTTGTGGGACAAGCTCTAAGCCCCCAACATGTGTTGTAGTGTAGTGCTTGTAAGTAAGGAGTAAGATAGGACAAGAAAGAGGAAGGAAAGATTGTGTGAGGTCCTTGGCCTGTTTGTTACGTACTGCTCTGGCATTCACCTTGCGTTGATTAGAGAAACCATGGCAAACTATCGATCAGAAGTGCTAGTCGCTAGAATTCTCCTCCAGGTAGCATCTGAATTTGACCTGCCAATTTAGCTAGTGTTGAAAATTCTGCCACAATCAGGACTCAAATCCTAGGATATGTCAGAGGCACAGCAGTGACAACAATTAATGCCCTTGATCAGTACTTGAACATTCATTTTTGTAATTGTTGAAAAATTAAAAGGTTACATCAAAATATTGTTCATGTCATTCAATGCTCCAACAAAGTCCACTCAAAAAGTTTACAGAAAAAGTTAGAAGCTGTTGTTGAGAAAATCTTGTTTTTTCATTTGCCTTTATTTCATGAAAAATTTCATGAAAACTACAGGTATTTTGAAAAAAAATGTACCTGACCTGATTTAATGACATAATTTTGAAGAACAGATTTCATTAAAAAAAGATATATATCTTAAATATTGCATTTGTAAGAAAATGCTGATAAATTTAAACTTTTGCAATTTTAAAAAATTCAGAGACATTAATGAAAATCAGACCTATGCCAATTTTATAAGTGTGCTCTATCTGAGAAAAAAATTGGAGTCATTTTTAAGAAAATGTTTCATGACATACCGAAAATAATCGGAATATTTGGGGTCTCTTTCGTATTGGGAAGAGACAATAAATGAACCCTTTTGTAAAATGCACCCATGGGGTCACTGGCGAGATAAAATAAATAAGATGACATCAGAGTAGAAGGGGACTGTGGAGCGGATGGATATGCATGGCAGATAGCGTCAGTCGAGTCAAAAAGAATGGAAGGATTATGACTGATTATTAATAATCAATTTTTTAATAGTACATATTAAAAAAAGGGAATTTCCAGAACAACTTGCCCACTCCTACGCATGGCACGTCAACCAATTGCAGTGGTGGAGGTATAAGTAAAACTGCCCGTGTGAATTGAACTAACGGAGTAAGCAGGGCATAATTTGGAACAAATGAAATCAGAAAACATTACATGGTTTTAGCCGCTAGCCACAGAGAGTCGGGGGTGGACAGATACTTTGACAGATGTTTTGCCATACCATTTTTTTTTTAATCAAGGAGCCATGAAAGATGGATTGTGACTTTAAGACATGTTAGAAGTAATTTACTACTTTAAAAAAATCCACTTCTCTGATATCAGGGACCTTCAATATGACTTTTGCTAACAAGTCACCATTTTCACTACTGCATTACATAATATTCTCAATACTATGTAAATAGTATGCGAGAAAGTAAAAATAAAGAGGGAAATGAGAATATGTACCTGACTATGAAGTCAAACTCGGAGAAAGCAAGCATCAGAACCCCAAGTAGTGTGGTGAATGCCCCATGTATCACAGGTGCAAACAAGGATTCTAACGCTAGTTGCATCCTTCGATCTCTGCAACCAATACTTGTAACAAACCCCTGAAAAAAATTTAAAAATAAAATTTAATGATATTCCTGAGAATTAAGTTCAGTGTAAACAACTATTTTAAATATTCCAAAAGCATGAATTAGCACCATAATCCATGCTTGTAAAATTTAAAATGGAAACTTACCATGCTTATGTGAACAGTGAAATGAACTCCTATTCCAACTGCCACAATTAGCAAAACTGCTGGAATAGCACTGAGTTTGATGCCCAACAGTCCCATCACACCCAACAATTGTAGAACCATAGCAGCCAGAGCAAAAACCACAAGTACAGCTGACCATAAATTGAAGAGTAACACTGCTACCACTAGAAATACTGCAGCTAGGGCGCACAATAGAGCTAAGCCTAAGGACTGTCTGAGCCCTAGATACTGTTCCCAAAACAGGAATGGAATTCCTGAAGGATAGTTTGGAAGTCCACGTTCTTCAAACTTCTGGCAAAGTGCCCGCACTTGGCCGATGAGGTTAGTTATATGCTCTGTTGATCCCAATCCATGAAGATCAAATGGAAGTTGAGTGTACACTAATGGAGCAGATTTTGGAATTTTTAGTTCAAAGTCATCTGGAGCATGGATCCATTGTCTTGGCTGAGGTCGGAGATTTGCTTGTGAAGCACCATATGCCAAAACATCATTTGATGTCCATGCACTCAAATAGTTATAAAATGCTTTGGGATTTATAATTCCATGAGAATCAACTAGTCGCACTTGATTCACAAGAGATTTGTCTATCGGATTATCTACATGTCCAGTCTGCACCAAAAGTTTGTAGCCAAGAATGCCTTCATCTGAAGCATTGGAATACCACTTTTCTTGAGTAATACTTCCTCTGGCCCAGTCTCGATCAAAAGCTTTTTGTACACCTGCATAACAAAATATGTATTAAGAACAAATGGCTGCACATGAAAAGAATCCATTCATAAATTTCTCTTTCATCCTCTGAACTTACCAATGAGCCAGTCTCTAAACATGCTAAGCCAAAACTCTGGCAAACCTCCGTCATCATTTTTTATAATATTTGGAATTCTCATGAAAGCATCATGATACTCATATAAAAGTTTCTGATTAGTTGGATATTCAAAATCTCCCTGAGTTACAGCATACATATTGTAAAATCCAAAGTACCGACTTTGTGCTGTGAGGAATGCATGTTCATCAGTGTGTTGGGGTACAATGTCAGTGAGATCTAAACCATCAGTAACTTTAGTGAGACCCCAAACACTGCTGGCCAAAACAAAACCCAGCATTACCATTGACACAACCTAGAAAGAAAGAAACAATGATAATAAAATTGTATATCTGCTAATGAACTTAAATTAGATAAATAACAGGAATTTTATCTTTGGAAAAAATTTAATGTAGCATGTGATTGACATGAATAAATAAATAAATTTGGAGAAAAATTTAGAGTGTAGGCGATGTGAGTGTGACGAGTGGAAGTAGGGCAGGTAAATAGGAGATAGGAATAGAATAAGATATAAAGTAGAAGTACGGAGTGACAAATGTAGAGTTCAATTTTAGAGCTGAAAATATTTAAAAGACAAGAATCTTTACACTGATAAGTGAATTTATTAAGAAGAGTTTGGAAAGTGCTCAATGAAATTTCTATTTACAGAAGGCTTGGAGAGACAGAGGGGCATAATGCTTGGCAGCAAGCCTCGTGAGAGACCAACCTCCAGCATTCTTGCATATGACAGGTGGCTGATTTATAATACCTTTCTCTTGGATCTGTATTCAAACAGCTCTCGGGTAGAACCCACCCAACATTCCTGAAAACAAATTATTATTTTATTGCAAAGGTGATTACTCATTACTAGATTATTAAAGGAGTAACATTTATGTTTTAATAATGAATCCTTAATACATCTTGCTCATGAACAAAAAACCGTAGGA